AACAAAAGTGACTGCAGAATACAAAGAGACCATCTACTTTACAAGTACTATTAGGGTGTAACGGAGTCCGGAGTCCCTCAAGGTGGTAGTCTGTCTCCGCTGCTATTTCTCTTGTACACCTGTGACCTTATTAACAGTATCAAGATTGACCCTAGAGTTTATGTTGCGGCCTATGCTGACGACATTAAAGTATCCGTCGCCTTTGACGATGATAGCAGAGATGAAGCTCAAAGGCTACTGAATCAGTCTGTCGCTAATATGGTCAAGTGGTGCGCTGAATGGGGCCTGACGGCCTGACACAAACGCATTTACTCTCGTTAGGGTAACCAGAGCTTGAGATCCGCTTCCCTGATGGCAGTTTAGTTACCCAACTCAGTTGTGTTAAAGATCTCGGCATCTTGATACCAAATGACATGAAATGGAGTTCTCATATCGATGAAGTTTCAAGAAAGGACTTAAACTAGTACACCTCCTTTTCAGAAATATTCATTCTTTTGACGCCAGAATATGGATCAAGCTTTATAAAATGTATGTCCTCCCTGTCCTCGAATACTGTAGCTCTGTATGGAGCCCCTCTCTAGCTAAGGATATCCAGAAAATTGAAAAAGTTCAGAAAACATTTACTCGGATACTTTTCTACAGGGCTTTTCCAGATAAGAACTACCCCCTCACCCTACCCTCCTACCAGGCACGCCTACAAAAACTGAATATGAAAAGCCTCTTTTACAGACGCATACAATCAGATTTGATTTTAGCATTCAAGCTACTGAAGGGTGAACTCCGTGTAAAGCCGTCCAGGTACTGGACCTTTCGACCGACGTCTGGGCGAACTGGCGCATTTCGTATCTACAACCTCAAAGATGGGCAAGTGGCGACGTGACCTCAGAACTAACTCTTTCATACTTCGGACCACGAAATGGCTGGAGCGGCTGCCTTCTCGTCTTCTTGGGCTCAGTAATTCAAAAGACTTCAAAAACTACATCAGAAAGGTCAACGTACTGAACATTTTGGGAATCGCCGATGTCTGTTGATGTGTTATTCTCTTGTTACTCAGCAGTGCCACGTTTAATTGTAATCGCTTACCAGTCCAACGGTCCGCCTTGCATAGAATCCTGCTCCGGTAGGAGTAGTGAAAGAATTTTAGTCAATCCTTTATTGCACTCATCGCTTTTACACTGTTGGTCCTCCATAAAATTTGAAGGTGGCTGTCGATGTTTACTAGGATGTCAATAGTCTCGCTTATGACACCTACCCAGCTTGCCGTCTCCACGTGGGTGGTCGGTATACCCGTGTCCCGAAGTTTCGGCAAGCTCTTATGACTCCGCCTGTGGCTGGAGGGCATCATTGCCGACTGATGCGGGTCTGTGTCATAAGGTTGAATTTAGCTGTATGCAAGATGACTTCTGCCACCTCTTTTCTACCGTCCTCCTTGGACCATTCCGTTCCTCAGTACTATCTCTTTCTCATCGGCTTCATTTCTTCATCTTAGCATCACTGCAATGTGGTCCGCTTGACTGGTAAGCTTTTTCATCCTTTCTTTATTTGCATTGATTCGCTCTGCAGTCTATCCGATCCTTTCACTTGCGCGTAGTTTGTTGATTTTTTACTCTAGAGCTCTTTGTGATGCAGCAATCACCCTCATCTTATTTTATACTTTACACTTTGTTTTCCTTTGTTTTCATTTTTATGTTCTTGTTAGTTATCGTTGAAGTCCTTAACAGCTGCTACCTCTATCTGCCCTCTTGCTTGACTTGTTAAAGCGCGTCTCCTGGGCGCACAGTAAATAATTAAATAAATAAGCAAAAGTTCGTGTCACTTTCAAACATGATTTGAGATAAAATTATCCCACGAAAATGCAATACCTATCATAAAAATTTTATATCATTATGTCATATCATTTGTCTGCTAGATGATTCCTTATCAAGAAGAATGATTGTCCGTTGGAAGGAGGCTGATAACCACTGCCTAGTGGATTTAGTAGGACTTCTTAACTGAGCTTCGAAAAATAAAGCAGTGTCATTCTCGGAACACGTGGTCTCGGTTGTTGTGAAACGAACATGCTGTATTGAATTTTGGCGTATCAGGTGGAGTATTTAACCAGCTTCAGCCGTAAATCACAGGAGACCTGGCCTGTGTTAAGGCCGAAGCTGGAGAGGAATTCACACTGGCTGCTTTCAGTTTGCTTTTCATACGTGGACCCAAACGTTTTGTTGACTTTTATAGCTTTCCAGCCTCTTCTGGATACAGCCGTTGATGTTTCTGTAGGTAAAATGAGGAATTAGAATGAGGCAGCCACTTCTGATCAGCGGTAGTGGTTTGTTCAGACACCACGTAGGGATGAAACAGGAGAGATACCTCTCGGTGAACGGCGACAAGGATATGAAAGCAACGCAGATGTAACTCTGGCTTCGCCTGTTTTTTGGCTCAGCAAGAGTTCTTTTCAGTCTTCAAAACAGGTGTTCTTTTTGTACCGCTCACTGTTCAGCATTCAGGAGAGCAGAAATGTCATTATACTGCGCTATCCCAGAGCATTGACAAAGAGGTTCACTTTACTGCATTCGTCTTGAGACAATAGTCATCCGTATCTGCTAAACTCAGGGGTTTAAATATCCCTGGAAACAAACTTTGTAATTTTGATATCTTCTAGAGAGGGCAGTCACCGAAGTCAGCCAAGCGCACGAAGGGATGAATCAAAAACGAACTGGCAAAAGCACCACCCCCGAATCAGGATGCAGAACCATGCAAGTCATCCCCATTATCCGAAAACGTAAGTCGGCTGAACGTTTTTTAGGAGTCTATTTAAAGGAATCTTGCGCGGAAAAATCATGATTCTATTTCAGCCATAAATCACTGGCTTGAGACTCATTATCCACGATAATAGTGAAAAGAACTGAAGTATTGCTTTCGTTTTGATTAGAAATTCGAAAACTCGAAAAGGCTGCTACGCGTTCGAATTGCCCACGGACGTCTTTCACGAATGCTGGCGACGGGGATGCTCAAACTTGGTTCTTGGAGTGCATTCACTAGAAGCTCTTTCTGGCCTTCTGCTTCGTTGCATTCACATCTTACACTTCTACTCCATCCTATTCCATCGATCGATTTGTCTCCACTCTCCGAAATCGCGCGCTTTAACCCGATTCTCTCATTGCGTCGCCTGGTACGTAGCCGGCCAAACGCCGTCTTCTTTCCATGCCTCGCCTGGCAGGGTGAATATCGCTTGAGGATTCCTCAACGGCACGTCGAGGATTCTCTGCCCGATCAGAGACGATCTCTCGCGCGGACATTCACACTCGCCATGCCGTGCCGTCTGTGCTCTCCGCGCGGATGTTCACTCTCGGCACTACTCTCGCATGGTAGAGAGCTATGGTCGAGGATTTCCTCGACCGTTATTCACCCTGCGCCTGGCTCTGCCTCCTGGTCCTTCGATGGTCCATAACGTGTAGTTTTTGTACGTTTGTTTCTCTTCAGAAACCGAATCTTCATGCGTGAAACTTTGTGTGCTATTTCCAGTGATCACAACTGACATATTCATGTTAGGAAAGAGTGCAAGAATTTTCCGCGCAAGATTCCTTTAAAGGGCGATTTCCATCCCAAGGTTATCGAATTCAAATTCAAATTGATGATGACGATGCTCACGTCACCCAGTTTTAATAATAGTTAGGTCAAAATCTCAGATTTGGTAGACATTTGTCTCTAGGGGTAGTTTGATCCACACACGTGCACTACGGGCACCATTGGCATAAATGGACAAATGCCGGACACTGCCCAAACCTGCAGGGAGCTGCTCGCAAACTCTTCATAGAGGCAACTAATGGCATGTTGTTAAAATGACATAGTTAGAAGCTTTCGCCACATTACCGAGAAAAACAAAAACAGACTCTCCGAGGAACCGTTCCCACGACCTCTTGCTCGCGAGTTCGGGGCACTGCCACTGCGCTTCCTTGCTTTATAACTACGTTCAAAGAATCGTTTAGCAGATAAGGAAGGCAGTTCTGAGCTCAGCGCCTCGAGGCGACTTGCAACGGTATACGACTCATTGCAAATGGCCGGACCGACCTGGTGACCTTCCCTCGTTAGCGTGAAGAAAATATTGCAGGTCGCGCACTAACCCTTGGTCCTGGTAAGGTCCAAAATTCTAACGAGTGAACACTGCTGAATTGGTTTCTATAATGTAATCAGTTGAAATTCGAATCATTCACCTCATGAATGGCGCAAACTATGTGAGTCTGGCAGCAGAGCCGAAGAGGGTCCCCCGTTTCCATGGGCGGGGTTACCTTATAGACCCATCGTTTGTCCATACCGAGCCATGGTGCCATTCGCCACAGCCCTGTTTTCTCTCAAACATTTAAAGTGTTCCCGTGAAAAGATTGCTTGGGATCCCAACTACTCCTTTCGTGTCAACCATGGCTTTCTTGTGGGCTTATTTATTCGGAAGGCCACGGGGTTATTTTTGTAGACAGCAGCATCTACACTAATCAACCATTCTTGGTATGCATGCACTGACTTGTTGATTTTGATGCTTTGACCCATCGGAAGAGCATGAACCTTGTTTAATGAGACTTGTTCTTCACTTCGATAGGCATTCATTCGAGAACTAAAAAGAATGAAAGCAGGTCCTTGAGCTTCTCGAGCATTTAAGGTCCCTAAGCAATTTTTTAGCTTCAAAAATAGAGCCAGCTATAGGCTTTTAATGCCTGGCCGTAGATTCCAAAAAGTCAAAATATCGAGTGAAATTGCTCAGTCAAATAATGTTTGAAAAGGTTTCGTAGGATTGTGACCGAAATGCGAGGTAGGTCTTATGCGCCAGGCTTCAGTGATCTTTTGTCCAAATTCCGCGGCAATCATTCCGGCGATAGCTTACGTCGTCAAGTTTGCTCGTGAAAAAGTGTCATCCTTATCAAGCATGAGTCACATCAGCCGTACTCGAGCATTTAAGAGCTTTACAGGCCGTGATTCCTTCGTAGCATTGTTGCGACAAATCAAAACCGCTCGCTCATACAATGCATCCCGTTCATCATCCGGTTCGTTTCCTTCTTGCTCAATATTCCTTAACGAATCTTCGATTCTTCATTACTATAACTATTTTTGTAGCCTGTCCCGAGTGTAATCCCCATTCATGAGGAATTGAGAGAAGGCTGCAAGATTGATGTGCACGGCAAAGTACTTCATGGACATCATAAGTAAGTTCTAAACTGTAACAAGAGCTCCTTTTATTGAGCCATTCCGTGAAAGTGGACTGTATTTCAGGAACTTCTCAGTGGAGCTTCTATCTGGACCACACATTGTTCTTCATATAAACTTTCGCTTTCATCATGAACATACCGTCGTGATGAACTCATTCAGTCATGGATCGTGGGGACCTGAGGTTGTTAAATATTTGCTGAGCTTAACGACTCGTAAAGGCCTGACGTACTCCAATATTTGCGAAGCCATGAGCTCAGGGCCAACTTACCTCAGAGAGTTCTGACATTTATTACATCAGAAGGAAAGATGTAAAGCTCGACAACACAGCTTAATCTAATGAATATTTGAATCTATTTCTATCCATATGACTCAAATTCATATTGGGCAAAATTTTAGGTGCGTCATCATAATCCGCTCCATCACGACAAACACTTTCACCTACACATCCACGTTCATCACAGTCATTATGATGTAAGTTGATGTTGAGCTGCTATGGCTATCACGTATTTGTTGTGTTGTGTGGCTGAAACCAAGATGCTGAGGCAGTTTTTCTGTTATGATGCACTGAGTCACAGTCTAAACAAGTGTGAAGGAGAGATCTGAGGAGGTTTGTGGAAGAATGAAAGGTAAGGTTGAAAGAGGAAACCTGCCGTTATTTATTGCTGAAGTATAGCCAAGGATAGGATTCACAAAAAAGCGAGGGAGAGAAGGAGTGGAGCAGAACGAGGATGGGGAGGCGGCTGATCGGAGTATAGTTAGGTTTGAAAGAGATGGGTTGAGCCAGCGAAGTGCAAACGATCAGAAAAACATCAAGAATAAGGGGAGTAAATAAGTGTTGAGAGGATGACGAGCCAGAGAGTGAACAAGCGCAGGTAAGCGAATCGTACGGTAGGGAAAGAGGCAAAAGGCACAGCGAAACAGATGCATATAGTTCAAGTGTTCAATTGAATTAACCCTTTGACGACAATGGCACCCACCGGTGGGTGCCACTATGTTCGTCGCGTGGGACAATGGCACCCAATGGTGGGTGCCACCTTAAAATTTCCTTCTTTGTGCATTTAAAACATTTGTAACACCCAATAATTATAAGCAAGTTCCATAATATCTATGGCTAGCACGACTTACAGAAATGTTTACTAAGAGCTAATTTATATAGAATTTTAGAATGCCATTTAGCTCGCCACCATATTAATTGGGGTTTTAAATTATTAGGCCGAAGATTAATTACTAATCAGGACTTCTTCGTCTTCTCATAGCCTTCAGATAAGGGGTTTGAAGTGTACCGGAAATTCTCTTGGACACTTAAACTTTTAAGGTTTTGCCCTCCTTCCCTTTGAAACGCGAGTTCCCCGTCCAAATTTGGAATTCTCTTAAAAATTTACAGTATGAAAGCCTAGAACTGCAGTTATAACTGGTATACTGTTAGAGTCAAAAATTCTACAGAAAAATTGCTTTAAGGACAATTTTGCCTAATTGTGAGCGAGAGTTGGGCGCGCCAAAAACAGGCGTGGTCCCACGAGCAAGCTACGTGCAAATCCGCATTGTCGTCAAAGGGTTGAGAAGATTCCCGAAAATGAGCCTTATTTCAGATTGATTGCAATGGCCATCGTTTGGCGTCGTTCCATCATCGGTTCCCAGCTGCGACAGTTCAAGCTCTCGGTCTGAAAGGAGAGGTTCACGTCGAAAAAGTCAACTTTGAAGGATTCCATTTTCACAGAGGTACTTGAAACCGTATTGTGTAGTATAGGGGACATGCTCGCTGAGGGAACGTAATCGTTAGTACTTCACAACTTCGGAAAAGCCTTTCATAAAGACTTTCAAAAATTATGAAGAAAACTGGCCAGCTGAGATCAATTAGAAAACATAGTCTTTTATAGACTGGAATGCTCCCATGAATTACGGTCACCAAGGATTCATTGGATACGGTACAACAACATATGCTGGTCCACAGGTGTGTCATTCTTTTTGACATTATAGGGCTGCTTCAAGTTATGCTTTTTTAGGTACAAATCACACCTGGATACAATGCATACCAGTAAAAAGCAGCAGCAGCTCTGAAACTGTGATCTTCTCGTCAGCATTGTTATGAATGAATTCTTGTTTTAATACTCATATTCATCTTTTGATCCACCTCAAACGAACTTGTGTAGATTTCTGTCTTCAAAGTATTTGGCAACGTTCAGCCAAGGATGCTACTCTGACTCAGACGACGAGTCGAACATAACTGCGGTCTACATTTCCTTAGCGACCTTCCGAATGCCAAAAGCTGGTTGATGAAGCTCAAGCGCTACACCTTTTCGACGCCGGTTTTCGGATAAAACCGGCACTTGTGGGTCGTCGATGGATGCGAAAACCTTTTCGAAAAGCGGGTGCGCGACCTGTGAATGGTCATGAAACCACACCACGATTTGGGGCTGTTACATACGCTGTAATTAAATGCACACAAGATCACAAAATGTGTTAATGTCGCTCCAAAAAAATCACAACAGCAAGTTGCCGACCGCTAATGAAGAAGAAATGGAAGTGGAGCCATGAAAACATTAGAATTGAGTACCGCTTCTTTGTGGGTTTCGATGTACTAGGACGGGGGAACACTAGGCGCGGAGGAGAGAGAATGGGCTAAAGAGAACACAGGAAGCGCCTCATATAATGTTACATTTAGCAACTGTAGCAGCTCTCATCTGCCATGTTGACGGTGCCGCCTGTATTGCATTTCACGGCAGGGGAGGGAAGGGTCACGTTTTTCCGGAAGGCTGTGAAAGGGCGGTGGTGGTCATGTACCGAGTTTTTTGGAGGGGTCGCATTTTTGGTTAACAAAAGGTCAGGGTTTCGAAACTTTAGGGTCGTACTTTGGAAGTTGAGGGGGTAGTAATTGTGGTAACGAAAAGTCTGGGGTCTATTCCAGTTAGGGGGGGCATCATGGTGCGGTGACTCCCAAAAAGCTACGGTAACTCTGAGCCAGGGGGAGTGTAGCCAGCCTAGGGGGTGGGGGTGAGGGCAGTCACTTGACATGCGTGAAAAGCTGGAATGTTCGAGCAGGGTGAATATCGGTCGAGGAAATCCTCGACAGGGGGGTCGTACCTGTTGGGCTGGTCCATGGGGGGTCGTACTCTTGGGGGTCAGTAACAGCAGTGGTATCGTGGTGCAGATAGGTAAGAGGGTATAGCGCAGCAGAAAATGAAAATATCCTGAAAAAAACATGATATTAAATTTTCTTTGCAGGTTCAGTCGCTCCATTCCTCCACCTTCATGAGAAGGGCGTATTTGAAGGCAGTACAAAGAATGAAAGTGCATCCCCGCAAAGAAGACTTTTGCCACACGCGCCATTCGCCAAACACACCCCAACCCCGCGCATGCCAACCCACCATACCCTCCCCCCAACACAATCGCCCATCCCTCTCAACTAACCCCTCGCTGAGCCACTACACCTAAGTGTTCACGGCACCCCCTAATCCGCAAAAACGACAACCGTGAAGGAAAAGCCCTGGCGCAAATAAAGTTGTTCTTTAGGTTGTAAGAGTTACGAAATGCGTTTACTACAATGCAGCTTCTGTCAACTGGTCATGATCATATGACACCTTCGAATCGATTCTGCAACTTCGAGTGAGGTCGGATGCATGGCCTATACTCAGACAAAATTCGATGATGACGATTGCCCCTTTTCCTATTGCTTATGTTGGGAGGATGTTTCTAGACCCATTTCAAGCGTTGCCACAATTACACTTGCAATGGTGAAGGACGGACTTTACCCACTGTCGATCCGGCCTCGTACACTACTTCGTCGACCAAATCCTCCAAAAGGAAAGTAGAAAAAGCAACCAAAGAATCGCAGGAAGCGCAAACCTTCCGCTTTCCAAAACTATCTTCCCTTTTTCAGGATCTTACAATATAAGAGATATATTGCTCTTGAAGTGGCAAAAACTCGCGTGAAAATTTGGGCCTCCTCGACATTTACTCGACGAAATTTGACAGACCCTATCTTTCTGCAAGGAAGGCTTCCAGAGCAATTTCGATGCTTGTTGGAAACGCGAAATCCAGCTCTATCTAACTCTACCTCAAGCTGCTTCAAAGGTTGTGAAATGGAGGAATGCAACCTTTTCATCGAGGGTGTAGATTTCGACGGTTTTTTTCGGGATTTCAGCAAATCTGACCCAGTGACAATCGCGCCGTAAATGCCGTTGATTGATACACCCGGCTGTTTCGATATACTCAAGCAGCCCATTGAGATTCAAAGTCCGCAATCCCTCCGTGCCTTCAGGATTTCTGTGCATTTCTGAACGAACCTGACTTTGAGGTCACACAAAGTTAATGCCTCTTTCCTCGAGTCGATATTTCAGTAAATACACAAAAGTGTGCAGCGATGAAAGACAGTGCATAGATGACAAGATGAGGCGTCCATAACATTATTTTGCAGGATTTTTTTGATTTATTTTGCAGGATTTATTTTGATTAATTAATTGAATTAATTTGCTCTGTTTTGGGGGGTCGTGCCAGGATCTCGATTTCGGGGGGGGGTCGTACTTCTGCGACCACGTACTCGACACGATTTTCACCCTGTTCGAGTTTACATTACCTCGCCGAGAAACTGCGTTATGATGTCCCCACTTACTGGAATGACCCAAGTCCTGTTTTGTGGGGACATTTGACGACATCGGTGAAAACTTCGCGAAGGGAACCCCCACACACTATACTAGACATCAAACATCACGCATGATCCGTAAAACTCATCTTAAAGCGAAAGATATGCGTAGACGATTACTTCGAGTCAAAAACCATAATGACTTTAGCGATTACTTTAGTCCACTTTTTACAATTTTGTACCATACCATCGGAATATCTCTCTCCCCTACGGAATCATTGCTTCCACCACGATTCTCTCTGGATACTCACCATGCAGGGGAAGTTCAAAAATGTCCAACGTCCTCCCAAGGCATTCCATCCCGTTTCAAATCCAAACGATTAGCCCAGCTAAATGTCGACCACCCTTCATTCTTCTCGGAAAAAACTACAACAGCCTTCTATACCGACGACATCAGAATAACTTCGTCACGGAAACATGGTGCACGAGACGGCCCAACGAGTTCGTCGACGGATCAAATACCGTTACGGCGTCACCTGGAATTCTGGTCACAAGCGAACTTGCACCGGTAAAAAGCTGTTCACCGGTGAGCCGATTGAAGAAAATATGTGGCAGCTCAGGCTAGAACGATTATGCTGGGCTTCCGCACGCATTACGGTGATGGCGAATGGCGGATCTTCGGATCCACTTCCCTTCCCGCAGCGTTTCATTGGTGTAGTATACTTCAATATCGGAGATCTGCTTTTATTCGTGTTGTCTTTATTTTATTTGATTGGACTACCGATAATAAATCATAAATCATAAATCACATCCTGGGAAGGGTTAGAGCAATGGAGAAAGGCCTGCTTTTTTATGAGTGGATATCTAGTGAATATAGTATTGTGGAACTTCCATTAGCGGCACCATGTGTGGCGAAAAATTTGATGATGTGTGCCCCAGGAAAAGTGACTTTTTTGCCCCTGAGGCAGGCCTCCTTTACTGAACTTGCATATTGATAATAGGGAGCACAAGTGACAAACGATTATATCATTCCACTCAAAATTCCTACGCATGAACAGCTTCAAATCTTTGAGAAAGGCTTAGAATTCAACGGAACAATCAAACGCTTGATTAAAATTCAAAGCAGGTCTATTACTATGTTGATAACCTTATAGGGTCGCTGAAACATTGATAGGACCTAAGTATGGAATAAGTCAATGAATAAGCCGCCTGTTGGGACAATTTCTCCACTTTTCAAGAATTGACGGGTATCAGTATATATTCGTTGCTTTTTTCGTGCCGAGCGCACTAGTTGAGCAAATGAGGCTGCAATCCTCCCTGCGCTCTGCCCATTAGTGTGTTGCTAGCAGCATCATTGTTCTTATCATTTGGATGAGATATTCCACTTCGAGTGTGTATCCTATAACTTTCCCATGGAATGCGTCATCAATCAAAGCATGATCTTTGCTGGAATGATAGCGGCTATTAACATGTGCAAACGACCTCCTAATTGGTTGCTAGCTCGTCCATTATCGGAGGTCAACGGGCAGCAAAGAAAGGGGTCCCATTTTGCGCGTTTCTTGACGGATTTCTTTGCTTTTTTCGCCACTGGGGCATTATTCAGCATCTTCACTTCCACTATGAACCCAAAGTCACATATAATCTCTCGCTTTAACCAGTTCGCGAATCCTGCGACGTTGTCCGACTGCGGAGTGATAGGGAATGGAATGAGGTTACGCACACCTGAACTGGGATCCCCGCAGGGCTCCAGCGTCATCTGGAGCGACTGAAGAAATTTAAGATGTTCGACTACGACAGCACAGCGCATGTGTGGCGTCCAGCAAAGGACATATATAAACTGCCATCCGTGAAACATGGTGGAGGCTCGATTATGGTAGTCCGTGAAAGAAGTTGGACTACAACACAGTACTGAGAAGGATTGGCGAACGTATGAATACGGCTATTAGATGCTGGGTGTCCGCGCGAAT